GATATTACTAGTATCATTATCATTAATTTTATTGTTATCATTATTTATAATTATCAATTAGTATTATCATCATCATCATCATTATACATTTATATCATCGTTATCACTTTGTTATCATTATCATTATTATCATAAGTGTTATTACTATTATTATTTTATTATTATGATGATGATAATAATAGTAATAATATTATTACTATTATTGATACCAGCATTGCTATCATTATTATTATCCATATCATGATCATTATTATCATCATTATTATGATAACTATTATTATCATTATTGTTATTATCAACACTATCATTATTATCATCATCATCATTACTATCATTATTATTATTATTATAAATCTTGTTATTATCATTATTATTATTATTATCATTTCTATCATTGTTATTATCGTTATTATTACTATTATCATCATCATTATTTATCATTGTCATTTCGATTATTATCATCATCATTACTATCATTATAAATAATCAAATTGTTACTAATATTGATAAGATTATAACGATGATTATCACTATTATTATTAACTTTATCATTTTAATGATTATTATCATCATCATTATCATTGTTATCATCTTTACCATTATTTCTATTACTACCATCATTATTGCTATTGTTATGGTTATATTTGTTATTTCTTATTATCTTTATCATTGCTATTATTACAATAATTATTATTATCATTACCATTATCATCACTATTATCATCATTATTACTATAATAATAATAATAACTTTTATCAGCATTATTTTAATTGTTATCATTGCTATTATCATTATCATCAATATTATTATTATCATAATGATTACTACTATCAACAATATCATTATCAACATTATTATTATCACTATTATTTTTATCGTCATCATTATTTTGATCAGTATCATTGTTAATGTTATTATGATTATTATGATGGTTATCATTATCATCATTATCACTATTAGTGTCATTATCATTATCATTTTTACAGTCATTATCATCATCGTTATTATCGTTATTATCATTATCATTTTATATATTATCATCATGATTATTTATACAATCACTGTGATTTCAATTATTATTACTGTTGTTACTATCGCTACTACTAATCTTACTATTATACTTGTTATTATTATTTTTATTATTATTATTATCATTAATGTTATTAGTATCGTTAATGTTATTAATATTATTATCATTATCATTATTATTACTATAATTTATTATTATTATCATCATCATTTTCATTATCATTGCTTTTATTATTATCATTATTACGATTATTATTATTATTATTATCATTATTATTACTATCATTATTATCATTATCATCATTGACAATAATATGATTGTTTTCATCACAAATTTTATTATTATTATTATTAATATTATTATTAGTATAATAATAATAATAATATTCATTAACATCATAGTTATTATTACTATCAGTATTGTTATTATCATTATTGTCATTAATTTTAATTATTAATATTTTTCATTATTTCTAGTATTACTATTATTACTATCATTATAATCACTATTATTATTATCATTACTATTATCATCATTATCAATGTTATCATTATTATTATAACTACGATTTTCATCATCATTATCATCCTTATTATTATTATCATATTTTTTATTATCATTATTTTCATTGTTATCAATATTAACATTATTATTATTTTTATTACTATCATCATTATCATTATTATCAGTTTCATTACCTTCAATGTAATCGTCATTATCATCATTAATATTATCATAGCTGACAGTATCATAACCCTGATGATTATTATTGCTGCTATAGTTGTTATCATTATTATATTTATTATTACATTTTTCTTGTCATTATTATAACTAAGAATGATCATCATTATTCTTATTATTGATGTCATTAACATTATCATATTGATAATAATATTAATTGTTATACTATTATCACTATCATTATTATTATCATTATTGTTTTTTGTTGTTGTTATTATCATCATTATTATCAATGGTATTATTATTATCAATATTAGTATTATCGTTATCACTATCACTATCATGATTATTGTTGTTATCATTATCATTACTATTATTATCATTATCAGTAGTGATAGTATCAATAGTAATAGTACCATTATTATCTTCATCATTATGATCAATTTTGTCATTGTCATTATTTTCATTATTATCATCATAATTAATATGATCGTCATCATCATCATTATCATCATCATTACCATAATCATTAATAACATTATTAACCAATATTACATTTTTAGAGGGCATGGATTGAGATTCCTCTCGTGTTTTTGAAACTGATAAATTGAGGATAAGACGAACGGAGGAAGTGGGAGGGAAAGGAAAAGAAAATGAAAGAGAAATAACACATTAGCTTCAAGAATCTCCTCCATGCTTGGAAGGAGGATTTTCATAGTCGTGAGAGTTAGGTCAGTAGTGGGAGGAGGAGGGGGAGGGGGGGGAGACGGGAGGAAGGCGGAGAGGTTGACTGAATCTCACGAATTTGGTGAACATCATCAATATGACGCTCCAGGTGCGACGAGAAGAAAGCGAGTGAAGGTGCTACTTACGTGGCGGGGAGCGTTCGTCTCGGAGACTCGAGCTGGATAGGATGTTTGTCATTGTTGTGAAATGACTGCAAAAAGGGGGGAGGAGTTCCAGAGCTGTGGTATATAAGATCTCTCACTCAGGCATACCAATATCTAACCTTATATTGCCATACCGGTATCATTTACCCTTGCGATGCCATCTGCTTCCATAGAGCCATACCATCATGTACCCGAACGCTGTATACTGCCAGCGACTACTCTCACACAGTCCTGCCGACTCGACGTACGACCTAGGAGGCACGTGACCCCGAGGGCGTGCCGGGAGAGCAGGAGAAAAGGGCGCCGTGCTTGCCAGGATCGGCGGAAAGACGCAAGGATTCTTACCCAAATACCCACATACCCGACTGACTCTCCCGGGCAATCTGGCACCACCGGGGCACTGATCACCGCTCGGCTTCGTCGGACGAAAGGAGAGGAAGACAAAATAATCAAATAAAGGAGAGAAATAACGGAGGAAATTAACCCCCCCCTTGAATCTCCAGTGACGTCGGGGCCCCTACCTGTGTTGCAGTCCCCTCCCCACATCGGGAGAGGGTTAACGTAGGGACGCCCCATGCCCTTAATAATGTCCCTGGTGAGCTAAGACCCGACGGAGGACCAAAAGGACCTAATACTGAGGTTCCGACGGCATGTATAAGAGCTCGGGAATGATAGGGTCCGATTCCATAAAGCTCTTGCGGGTATAAGGAGAATGACGAACCGTAAAGGGAATCTGAAAGCGTTCTCGGCACCACGGGACGGATGGCGGCTCGGGACGTCCGACGAGTCCCGCTGAAGGTCCTTCCAGTGACCGAAAGGTGGGGGAAGGATGGAAGGAAAGGATGGTGGGGGAAGGATGGAAGGAAGGGAGGATGGAAGGAAGGAAGGATGGAAGGAAGGGAGGTGGGAGGAAGGGAGGATGGAAGGGGGATGGGGGAAGGATGGAAGGAGGAGGGTGGAAGGAAGGGATGGTGGGGGAAGGATGGAAGGAAGGGAGGAAGGCAGGGGAGAGGAGGATGAGGATGAGGATAAGGAGGAGGAGTAGGAATAGGGGGATGAGGTCAAGGAACAGGGTTGGATGATACAAGGCAGTGGTCATGTTAGCACCAAGTGTAGAGAATTTGTTAGAGAATAAAGAGAAATAGAAAAAAGAAAAGTAGACACAGAAGCATACATGAGAGAGAGAGAGAGAGAGAGAGAGAGAGAGAGAGAGAGAGAGAGAGAGAGAGAGAGAGAGAGAGAGAGAGAGAGAGAGAGAGAGAGAGAGAGAGAGAGAGAGAAAGACAGAAAGAGAAAGAGAGAGAAGGTTCAGATTCAAAATAGAAAGTAGGCAAAAACTGGAAGCACAAACCAGACAAATCAATAACAAAAGAAGTATATTGTTCAAAAAAAAAGAAAAAAAAAAGAATAAATATCGAGAGCCTTCTTGGGATGTCTGGGGGGAAGGGCAGGGTGGGGGGTAAGGGGGTACGAGGCCCCTTTCCAAAAAAGTGAGAAGTAAAGAGAGAAAAAACATGAGAATTGAAGAATGTGCAAAATGCAAAAGTATGACAGAAGGATGGTGAAAAAAGAGGAACGAAACAACATACTTTAACTACTGTCTGTCATGCGAAATTGTGCATGAATATAAAAATAAAATACATTGAACCCAAAGAACTATCTAAGGCAAAACATTAACAGCACAAAAAATGCTTCAACCAAAATCCAAAAAGCTTTACACCGTACTGATATGACCTAAGCTAAGAGACATTAGACACAGAGTAAAATTGTGGGAAAAAAAGCCCCATTAAATATGGCATTTTGAGAATTCATTCACTAAGAGAGAAAGAGATAGAAACTGATGTCCATCCGGCACTTGAGAAGAACCGACGTATTAATTGAAGGGAACTTGGTGACGTCATTGCAATTATCTGATAAGCAATCTGTGATAAACCGTTATCATTATTTATGAGTATTAGTATTATCATGAAGTCTTGGAATCAAAGTTATGAGTAGCAAGAGAGAGCGATTCACTGACTAACATGTATTTTAACCAAATACAACAAACCCAGTCTGGGGGTTAGAAAGACAGAGAAAGAGAGACAGAAAGAGTTTGGGAATGGGCGTATATATATATATTTTTTTTCTCTTTTTTTGAGGGGGTCTCTGCTGGTTTGGCTTTAAGGGGGGCGGGGGGTACTGCGAGCGAGCGAGCGAGCGGGGCGGGCGGCGGGCGGCGAGCTGTGCTGTGCGGCGGGGTGCATCGGCAAGAAAAGAATCTTAAAAAAAAATGAGAAAAAAAAAATTGAAACTAAAAAAAAAAAAAAGACTCAACCTTGAACTGAAGATGAAGCCAACGAGCTAACATCTCATAGATGATAGACCTAAGACAGCACTAAGATCTAACATGGCTACTTACTCGGTATGCCTGATACTAGTTTTAATGGCCTTAGAACCCGGATAGCTCTCAGTGTTCTTAAGTCTACTTCTATGGCGTCCTGCCCAAATAACGTGATGAACCTGAAAAGCAAGGATAAGACAACAGCTACCAACTAATGATGTCTAACTTCTCCACGCTACTGACTAATGATAATTTCTATTAAAGAAGAACAGTCACTCTAAAATCTATGAAAAATCGTTAAATATCAGTTAAAACCAGAGAGAAGGGGGGCTAGCGGCCGAGGGGTGTGGCCGAGCCCCTGTATCGAGTGAGGGGGGAGGGGGGGCGAGACACCCAAGGGCAGGCGGCAATGGAAGGGACCCGGGGTAAGAGGGGGGGCAATACAATACCCTCGGGACAAGAAAGGGCAATACAGTACCCGGGACAACAAGGGCCATAATAACACGCTGCGGTAATGGCTGCTCGACTATACCGTCTACCTTTGTAAAATAAGCGAGGCTGCTTTAGCGGGTTAGTAGTAAAGAAAATATTAGGTAAAAAATCTTTTTTGTTCTAGTTCGTCGGCACTACAGTTGATCTATATACCTATAGTTATCAGTTTACTCTACAGGTTGATGCATTCATGGCGGCCGTCTAAGTCATTCAGACACTCATATAAATCTATGTCTGTATACAGGAACCCAAATCTAATAGTTACTAGCCATTACTAAAGTACTCCGTCTATAGGTATATAATCCCATGCGGGCACTCCCCTCCCTACGGAGGAATGATACACTCACTGAAAATCAACAGCAATATTGGATAGTCTATTTCCCCATAGAGCGTTAAAATCCTTGTGCTCTACATCTACGGTTCTAGTTACCATCTCTAGAAGACTCATTCACCGCGGCCGTGAGCTACCCACTAGAACGAGGGCGCAGGAGTAGCAGTAGCAGCAGCAGCAGCAGTGGCGGAGGCTGGGAGGGGGGCAGCGCTGGCCTCCACCACAGCTTCCTCGCACCCTGACCTGATCGCCGTAGGTTCTCCGGGGTCTCATTGCGTGTGTGTGTGTGTGTGTGTGTGTGTGTGTTTGTGTGTGTGTCCGTTCCCTTTCGAGAGTTGGAAATGTCGAGTGTGAGTGTTCGCGCGCCCTGGGGGCATGGCGAGGGTCTGTGGGGGCGTGGCATGGCTCTGCCTTTCCTTATTGACCTGACATGGGAAGTCACAAAGCAAACGCCTCGCAAACGAGGTCGCAAGGCGTGAGGCATGAGCGCCTGGAGATGGCCTACCGGGGGTCAAGGCAGGTCGAAGACATGGTCGAGAGGGCTGCCACCTGCCACCTCCACCACCGCCACCACCACCGTCGCCGCCGCCACAGTGCGAGGGACTACCTAACGAGCAGAGGACCGGGTGGCTGCAGCAGAAGGCAGAGTTCCCCGGGCCACTTACTTGGCAGCCGTGAGACCAACTTGAGGGGCCTGAGGACGCGGAACGAGCGGAGCATCCTCAGATCCACAGTTTGGCCAAAACTGTCCGCTGCTATTATTGTCATACCGCTGTCGTAGGGAGATACAGCCAAATACCATCACAGAACCCAGCCAGTGTCAGCTACTTAACGAACCACCCAGCGCATATCACCCACACTATACTAATTACTTTATAGAAGTCATACCCTCTCTATGCATTATATAACTTACATTATATAATCAGTTCTTCCCCACCCGTTATCAGCATACCATAGGTACGCTTTTGACATGAATGATAATCAGTCCTGCTTTAGAAGCAGACTCTCCTCAAAAATGCTTGACTGTCAAAAATCAAGAGAGTGATGGAACCTGAATGTATTCTCTCCTATTCTAGCAATTTTGAACATCCTATGCAATCATCTGACTTGATTTCTCTTTGAATGGATGAATTCTGAATGGGGATACGCATAACTGGGGAAAGTAGTTGGCCTGTGACTGAGCGAGCCTCGTTATTATAATGGGTTAGTGGTTGATGGACACAGAACACAAGGGCGCGGGCGGGACGCAGGGGCGGGAGGGCGCCCTGGCAGCGAGGGCGCGGCGGCGGCGGGACACACGTCTCCCGCCGCCCGCCGGAGCCTCCTTGCCGGGGCGTCGTCCCGCCCAGGCCTCCTGCCCTGCGAAATATAATCCGTGCGAACTCCGGCCGCCGTTCGGGAGCTGCAAAGCAAAGGGTCAGACAAGAAAAGGCCGAGGCGACGACGCTGCTCTCTCCGCGCTGCCGCCACTCTGCGAAGGAGACCAGAAGGGGGATGAAAGAGAGAAGGATATCTATCACTGACCTAGTGCCACGGCCTGCCATTCCTACTTCACCCATGACAATTCCAGTGCAGTAGGGCCAACAGGCACAATAAACCATAATTCGGATGCTATTATATTTTTCATATGTCCCGTAGGTATGTCAGAAAAATATTCTACATGATATGAAAAATGAAAATGAGCATCGCTCGACACCCAAGCACTTTCCGTGTCACAAAACGGAGTATTTGCTTGTCGTCCTACTGTGTCCAGAA